TTAAAAAGATACCAGAAAGAATTTTTTTTTTTTTTTGGGGGGGGGGGGGGGGGGTGTTTAAACCATAATAATAAAAAATAATACTGTAAGCAACACTAAGACATGGTAAATTATTTGCCCCAACCCCTCTAACTGCCATTTTTACTGGACAACTGGGTATGTAAAAGAAAGGGGGAAATAACATATCTAGTGGCAGGTTTAGCAGGTAATCATACTTTGTTAAGGGGAAAAACAAAAACTGCTATGTTAATGCCATTGACCCACTGCATTATATATATGTCATATTTTTTTGTGCTCATAGTTCTATTTTAATTATCAAAGTAAACCTTTCATAAGTGTAAACTTCAGGTGCTGCAAATTAAAGTTTTTGCCAGAGACTTTCCAGTGGTTCCTCGCTCTTGCTGATGATTTTACTTTTATATTTCATTACAGAAATTGTACAATTGAGACTCGTTTGCTTTTACTCATTGTGGTTAAAGCTAGCTCTGAACTTTCAGTGGTGATATTTTATCATTAGGATTACCAAGAGACGGCAAATACCAGTACATTTATTGGTGTTTATCTAAAAATAAAGTCTCACATTTTTGTAGATGTTGGAAAGTTAAATCAACTGTTGGTTTCATATCTTTAAGAACATTCCATGAAAGATTATCGCATTTGAGATCTTAAGTCTGCACACCAATCATGATCCTTAAAATTAGATCTCTTTATTCATGTACATGTTTGAATATGTGGGGGACCGGAAATGCCCCAGGGTGGACGGGAACGTTCAGAGCATCATGGTTGATAGGAACTGAGCCAGAAATTACGGCAAGGACCTCCACAAGAAGCTGTGAGAAACCAGCATGTTATCCAGGCCACCAGACTCTATGGGGTTGATCTACTAAAGGCAAATAGTTGAAAATGGTGGTGAAAATGAACTTTGTATAGAATACCCAATCACATGCAAGGAAAATAAACAAAAACAGTATTTTTGCCTACACATGGTTGGATGATGGAAGTCAGCAGCCTATTTGTGTTTAGTAAATTAACCTGTCTTTAACTAAAATGTAAATTTTGGATGGACAACACTTTAAAAGAGAACTATGGGGCAATCTTTTTATCCCATAGTTCTCCCGTGACCCAAAACTCAGTATATAGCGGGCTATTGCCCGCTATATGCTGAGACCGCAGCAGCTGGGACGGATACAGACAAAACTGGCTGATTGACAGCGGGCTCTGCCTATCTAGAGGCAGAGCCAGCTATGCCCGCCCCCTCCCTCATCTGTCCCTCCAGTCAGCGCTGGAGGATCAGAGAGGGGAGGGGGGAATCCCTGCGGCGACTTCAATCACCGCTCTCTACAGGGAGATGGTCGGAAAGTGAGCGAGCGGCAGTATGTTTTCGCTCACTTCACGATCAATAGAGCCTCAATAGAGCCTTCACGATCAATAGGGTTTCAATGTCACACGTCGGCTCTAACTATAGGGATGAGTGTAATTCATTCACCCCATAGTTCTCCTATAGGGAATCAAGCAAAAAGAATGACTAGTCCTGCAATTGGAACAGGTGATTGCCCAGGCATGTGGACAGGTTATATTTAGCTCCGGTATTCAGCCTTCAAACTAAAAGGAAACCAGAGAACACTGGAATGGTAAACGTATACAGTATGTACTGTATATAGATAATCACAAAGGCCATATACAATGTGCTTATTATTTCATGTCAACAGACAGCCATTATATTCAGGCTCTGTTTTTTTGATTGTATGCTTGTAGTCTTGCTGCCTTGTTACACCATCCAGCACTGCTATACTCACTACTCCTTGCAACACTGCACCCACTGGAGCCCCCTATTGGTAGATGGTTGCTATGAGCAGACAGTGTGAATTGCACTGTTAGTTCTGAGGGTTTGACTCTGGCAATGCATCAGTGAAGAACACACACCAAAACGCTGATAGGTGTAGCACTGTAAGCACGTGTGGGTATGGCAGTGCTCGGTGGAGTATCAAGGCAGGAAGTGTAGGGACAATGATGGAGAGTCTGAATGTAATGGTTGTCTTCTGATATGAAAATGATAAGTGCATTGCATAATTCAATTTACATCATGTTTTTATATATATGCTATTACATTTCCTATGATTTTTACCTTGCCAATGTGCTCTGGGTATCAAGATAAAGGACTGCAAGGCGAAGATGCCACTTTCAATTATGATTGGATTGGCAGTCGGGAGTATTAGAAAGAAACAGTATCTTTTAGTATCTGAGCACTACTGTAAACTGTGTGTTATACAGCATTTAAACATTCACAAAATGTAGCTCGAGCTTCAGTAAGTTGTTATGCTTGGCATAATTAGCTTAGTCTCTTTAAATGTACACGGATAACAGGCATTCCCTTTGCTAAACCTAAAACAAAAGTTTAACAAATAAGTTTACATAATAGTTTGCTGTTTTGCAAAAGGCTCTGCAGGCCTCATTTGTATAAGTGAGATGGGTGACAAATGTTTAACACCGAACAATACTTACCAGAGCTCCACTGCTAAGAAGAATCATGAAGATTATGAACGTCTCGAACCAGTTGTGTTCTACTATTCTAAAACATGTTTTTCTTAGGTTCCACCACTGTTTTCCTCTCCCTTCCAGAGTACTGAAATCACAACATGGGAACTTCCTGATACACCCTGTTACGAGAACCATAAAAAGAATTCTATAATGTCAACTTCAACACAGTTTTTTTTTTTTGCCATAGTTATTTTTTTTCTTCATCTTTTGCGGTTACTGCGAATGCAACATGTCCCTCTACTAAAATATTCTAGTGTCATGGGGGATAGTGTTTGACCATTTGTACTTCACTTTCCACCACCCAAGGTATTCTGTCTGGGCTCAGTAAACCACTGATAAATCACTGTACGCTCAGAAACTAGGTTAGAACAAACACCAGAGGCAGCGTGGCTTTATAAGGCTGTGTAAAGAAAAGGTAGGAGGAGCTATGCAGGTGGGCAGAATATGAAAGCATGGATGGTTCCACTCAGATGTAAAGAAAATCCCCCAAGATTAGGCCCTGCCATTCTCTGGCACTAACATCTGACCCTGTTCTTTAATCTCTTCCAGGGGTGCTCATAGCCCTACATAGTGCAGGGTTGGTGGTGGTAGGACTACAGATAGATGCAATTTACAAAAGGCATTTTATGTCACCATAATGTCATTTATTTTAAGATTTTGGCATTTACAACTGCAACAATTTGAAAAATAAAGGTAATATGAATTTGTACTTAATTGAGAGGGTCTCTTAATAAACAATATATTTTACATTTATGTGTAAACTTAGATTTTGCTGCTAGTTTTGTGTTTAATTCAGTTTTATTTTCCTTTCATATGTAACCTCTTTGTGTTTAATGATTTCTCTTTTGTTGTAATTGCGTGGGGAGGACCACGGGGAGAAATCTATTAAACTCGTGTGGGGTAATTATTAAGGTGTTGAAATACATCCATTGAAACGTTAAATGGGTAATTTAGAGATTAATATTTTTCTGCTGTGAATGAATATATGGAAAACAACAAAAGTGAGCATGTGGAGGACAATGTGTCACAGCGTGGTAGAAGTACCTTCTGTAAAGAAAGCTTCTGGCTCCATAATTTCCTCCGGCTCCACTAAAGCTGCAGGTTCACCTTCCGCGGGTGGCCTTATGTCAACAGTGCTGCCTTCTGATGAGCTGGATAGGGTCAGTTTCTGCAACAGAAAGGGTTCATCAAGGTGAGTTACTGTCAAACAATTTATAGACAACTTAAATGTACTGCTTAGTCATCAAAGTGCAATATTACTTTTCACTAGTTCACTATTCCCACTACTCCATCTAACTGCAAGTTATATAAAAAGCCTAAACAATTTTCCTGGTTAGAACCCCTGTCAGTTTTGTATCACTGTCTTATCTTTGCTAGAGAGATGCTCTCTTTCTATTTGTCCTCGTGATCACTGTCAACAGCACTGAAAATGAGGGAAAATCCCAAATTTTGATCTGGCACCAGAACAATAACAGGTGAGAAATCTTCCAATGGGTACACCTGTCTCAGGGCTCTTTCACACGTGCATTGAGAATTTAATCAAAGGGCAATGCTGATTAACACACCTATAGTGTTAACAAGGCATTCAGCAGGCATTTTGGAGGCATTGGGAAGGCGTCAAAAACGCTTGAAAATGCCCTGCAAGTAGGGAAGTGTACAGTGATGTAGCAAGGGTAAGTGACCAGCAGAAGTCACAGTTGCTGGGCAGACTTGGTTCATACAATTCTGGTACTGCTTGAATTAGCCATGCAACATTTATTTCATATATTTCATGGTAGAAGCTGTCCTCTTTTGTTGGGAAAATGCAAGCTGTGACATTCACAAAACACTGGCTGTGTGCAGACAGGAAGTGTCATCTGCAGCTGCTCTGTCCACTCATTCTCTTATTCCCTATTGGTTTTTGCAAAACCTACTATACCTCTCCTGAATACCTACGGAACACTTCTTGAATGCCTGAAAAATGCTCTAGGGAGCATTGACAGAGCGTTTAGAGGGCGTTTCAATATACTTCAATGGAGACATTATTCCAGTGGCAATGTCTCTAGAACGCGACATGCACTTTTTTTTACACAACACAACACAACACTGCCTATTGCTTCCCAGGGTCCTGTGTGTGTTGCAAAGTAGCCACCGCTCCAAGCTAATTTTTAAGATTTAACTTCTGAGTTTAGTGTCACTTTAAGGAGGGGGCTGTGGGAAGTTTTGTCTATGCTAATCAACCCTATCTGTACTGTGCTGAAAGATCTCATTATAAGATGTAAACTAGGTTTAAACACTGTCTATCTTAACAAAGGGTTAAAGAAGTTAGTGTTTTTTTGGGCAGCAAGCTCCAACTCTCTCAGCCTGGCATCCCTGACCTTCATGTCCAGTATATGATCACAAGGGAAAACACAGTCCCCAGCAACTGTCCATCTCATCCATTCGGCTCAGCTATTTTGCTCGCTACCTTCACAGACCGTTCACCCCGCTTCACAGTTATTCGCCCCGTTTCAGCTGAAACAGCGGCTCAGCCAAGCTCGGCTGAGCCGTTCACCTGCATTTGACTGCAGCCCTTCGGTTCCACTGAACCGAAGTGCATCGGTGGCCGAAGTGAGCCGAAGGATGAGCCGAAGCTACGGCTGGATCCTTCAGCTCATTAGTGAATAACCCTCTAAAACCTTTGAAACATCAAGTAGTAACACCTATTGTAAGTAATTTATTTAGCATTTGAAATAGCTTAAAAAACATTTTGACTTTAATTTAAACTAGAACCACCAAAATAACAAAACTTGGTTACATAATAGCAGAGGGTAATATTCCATCCTGGTCTCACCTACAACCACCCTGATCTGTAAATCAGCAATGCTGATTATGTTTATGTATTAATACAAATGATGCCAGATATATTCTTATGATACAACGTACAATAACAAATATTAATCAATTATAGGGCCACTTAACTTTCCAAGGACCTAACCTCCTAACATGGCTAGTAAACATTTTATCCTCAATATAATCTATCTATCTATCGCCAGAACTGTGCTTTTTTAATGGAATGAGGATGAGTTAAAATCCCCACCATTCTTTTTTTTGCCACCTCTATCCAATTTAATAGATTTCCCTTCACATCCTGTTCTGTACACACAGCGGGAAATAAAAGGAAACCTCTCCAATGTGAGGGAAATGCAAGGCAAGTGTTTGCATTGGAAGATTTGCTCTGTATATCTGCTCTGTTAATCGCTTAAGCCTTTGGATTTTTAGTTATTTTCATTGCCAATGACAATGACCACTGGGACAGATAGAGCATGTGAATCTTCTAAGCGGAGAGAAAGATGGCAATTAAAACTTGACAGGGGTTCTAACTCTTACCTACTCTATCCAAAACTAAAAAAGAAAAAAAAAAGTTTTGCCTTTAGATACACTTTACGTATAAAGTTTAAAATCCAGCTAATCTGTGCAAAGGATTCTTTTTGCCAAACCACAGTCTTAGTTATTAGTCTTTCAGAGCAAAACATTTCAATTAAACAGCATTCTAAGAATAATTGTTTTATTTTTATAACTACAGACATAAAAACTAAATTGGATTATTGCTAAAGCAGCGCTCTCTATCCTCTGACCCATAATTAGCTTGCAATAGAGCTGCATTCAAATGTTCAGAAAATGTGCTAATGAAGCTCAAGGGATTTACTCAGACTTGGCTGTTAGGGTAACAAAGTAATCTACTTAAATCTAACCAAACTCCAACACAGACACCACGTGTAACTTCAGGCTCATACGGATAAATTATCAAAGCTGAACTCCAGCCTCCCCTTCAATCTTGCACAGTTGTACCGGCTCATTTTCTGTATTGAAATAGCTTACTCTGATATCACTGCACACTGTGAGCTTCTCATAATGTGTATTAGAAGCTGCAGCAAGTCAGATAAAGCCCATCTCATTTCCTTGCTCGAGAAGATCCAGCATCATCTAGCCGTTTCCTCACCAGCCTTACTGTCCCTGGCCCACCCCTTTCCATTCACTGCATTTGAGTTCCATCAAGCATTGAGGCTTGGCATCACATGTAGGCATTGCCCAGAGCGGTCTGCATGCAAATACGGCCTGTCTAAGAATGTGCACCCCTCCAGACTGACACCCGCCCATCATGGCATTTTGATATTTGAATAACTTCCCCCAAGATCCAGCCCACTGCCTGAATCAGGGAGAAATACTTAGGCAGGGTGGTGGGTTGTTTTCAGGAAGCTATGTCCTGCTGGTACAAAGTGAAGCTTCAGTTTTCTTATCTGTAAAAAATAAGTCAAGGCAACTGGACTTGCTGTATTTTTCTTGAAGATTGTTCACTAGTCATCCAACCAGCTTTCTCAATTCAGAATGTCTTGTACAAAAATTATCTGGGAATAAATATGGTGAATGTTGCTCCAATCCACATAATCTGTTAGTTGCAGCCAGGTGTTAATAGCATTTGCATAATTGGAGTCTAGGAGGTGTTAATAACCTGCCCAGAGAGAGGTGTTATATGTATTGTATGTGGCAGACAATAGATGTCTCACCCCCCACCTCTATTCAAGCTTGGCTTCTCCATTTTTACATAAATGGACTCTTTCACACCTCTTTTAAACCAGTCCTCCTCCCTGTCTAGGATGCGTACTTGACTGTCTTCAAAGGAGTGAACTTTTTCCTTTAGGTTTAGGTATACTGCCGAATCCTGCGACGTGTCAGCTCGCAAGGGACGGAACCCGGAAGATAGATGTCGGCGCCGGCCGGAGGACACCGCACGGCTCGAGGGACAAGGTAAGTAAATAATGTGGGATATTCCCGAGTGTAGCTCAGGGTATGGAAAAGTAACCCCGAGCTACACTCGGGAATACCGCCAAGGACGTTAAACACATCTGGCTGACAGCTCTTCATATCTGGATTCTGTTGATGTACAATATGGAGCAACTATTGTTAAAGCTTCTAATAAAATTAAAGCTTCTGACAAATGTGCACAGTGCTATGGCTGGAAAAAACAAAATACCATATGACTCAAAAACCTCATTCCATCTGTGAAGCATGGTGGATGAAGAATGGTGTGGGACTGCTTTGCTGAATCAGGGTCTAGACAGGTTGCAATCATTGAAGCACAAATGAGTTTCCAGCTGAATCATGACATTCTAAAGTAGAATAGCAGGGCATCTGTGCATTATCTGCAGTACAAAATAAGTTGGCTCATGCAACATGGCGCAGCAATCCATAACACAGGGGCACTTTAACAACAGGGGGGTTTCAAAAATGAGAAATCAGTCAAGTTACTATCCTGACCTAATTCCGATTCAAATTCTCTCAGAATCCGAATGAGTCCATTTAATCAATTTTGATTACAGCCGAACTTCTTCTGATATTTGATCAGAAAATACAGAAGGATGGTGGTTGAGGTTATTGCCAATAAAGGTAAAGGTTCACAAGTTTTTTTGTGGCATTGATCATTTAAACTATTTGTTCAAAATATACACAAAATATGTAAAATGTTGTGCATTTTGTTTGTTACATGACTGTCTTTTTGAGATTAAAGATAAACAATCAGATCATAGTTTGAATGTAAATACATTGTTCAGCCATAACAATATGACCACCCACAGGGCTGCCAAACCAGCCCTGACCCGTCGAGGCATGGACTTCCCTAGACCTCTGAAGGTATGCTGTGGTATCTGGCATCAAGCCGTCAGTAGCAGATCCTTTAAGTCCTGTTATTTGCGAGGTTGGGCCTCCATGGATTGGACTTGTTTTTCCGAGACAAATCCCACAGATGCTCGATTGGATTTAGACCTTGACAATTTGGAGGCCAAGTCTACACCTCAAACTTGTTGTGTTCTTCAAACCATTCTTGAACCATTTTTGCAGTGTGTCAGGATGCATTATCCTGTTGAAGGAGGCCACTGCCATCAGGCAATAGAAATAAATTGTGATTCATCAGACCAGGCCACCTTCCTTGCTTCATTTCTTCCAATGGTCCAGGTCTGATGCTCACATGCCCATTGTAGGGGCTTTTGGCGGTTGGACAGGGGTGGGCAAGGGCACCCTTACTGGTCTGTGGCTACTCAGCCCCATACACAAAAAACTGCAATCCACTGTGTGTTCAGACACCTTTCTATTGGAACCAGCATTATCGTTTTCAGCAATTTCTACTACAATAGCTCTTCTATTGGATCAGACTACATGGGCCATCCTTTTTCTGCTTGTTCACTTGAGGCCTAGTATATCTCACCCACTTCCAGGTGCCATTGTAATGATATAATCAATGTTAATTACCTCACCTCTCAGTGGTCATAATGGTATGGCAGATCGGTGAATATATATATATATATATAGCTGAATTAGTGAGCCTGGTGTTTGAGAAAGAAACACTGAAATACAGTTAAGAATCCTGAATGGCAGAATCATATTTTGGGAGTCTCCACATATTGTCATTGGGTTGGGAAGATGAGAACAGAAAAGAAAAAAAAAATCACTATTATCACATTATTCTATATGGCCTTGCATTTAGCCTCGAGTCTGGAGACTATGAGTATTGATCAAGGCTGTAATGTAGATGCAGCTTTTCCAGGAAATTGGTTAAAGGAACTACAGCACATCTTGTAATAAATAAATGCATTTAACTGGGATCTAGAATGTTACCCCCTTCCATTCCTAAATCAGAAAGATAGCCTGAGCTGAAGAGATTGGTGAAGAGACATTACTGCATTTAAGCCACAGTCAGATCAATAGATGCTGTGTGTCTTTGCTGCTCATAGGTAAAAATCACACTATGATGCTCATTTCTGCATGAGAAGAAGAAGAGGAGGATTCTGACTGGCTGATTTGAGCAGCAGGCATGTTCCTTTTTCCCAAATTTTTCTAAATAAGCCCAATGTATCGTGATCATTTTTTGGTAAATTAAATAAGATTTATTTAAACAGTACTTGTCATCTCTAGTCACCAAAACATCACATAATTATATAATTCAAAATGAAGCTTGGCCCATTCTATGCTTTAATTCTATGGTAATAATGGTTCTGTCAGACAATGCACATGCAATCCCAATTCCAAAAAAGCTGGGACGCTTTGTAAAATCTACATAAAAACAGAATGCAATGATCTGCAAATCTCATAAACCCATATTTTTTTTCACCATAGAAATTAGAAAACATATCAAATGTTTAAACTGAGAAAATGTACCCAACTTTTTTGAGAAGTGTTGCTGCCATCAATTTAAAAATGACCTTATTCTTTTCTTAAAACGGTGTTTTCTCAGTTTAAACATTTGATATATTTTCTATTTTGTAATGTGAATAAAATACAGGTTTATGAGATTTGCAAATCATTGCATTCTGTTTTTATGTAGATTTTACACAGCGTTCCAACTATTTTGCAATTGGGGTTGTATATGTTTATCCACTTACACTGTCATAGGGCAGCGTGGTAACAGTTTTTACTATCATTGAAGTGAAAAACAGATACAAAGTTGAGGGTGGTAAACCTGTCACAGCATAATGTTCACCTAAAGTACTGCATTTAGCAAAAAAAAGCACTTACAGTAATGGCACTTCCTTTCCATAGGCACTGGTAATATTGCTTTTGCAACCAAGCTGCCTTTTGGACACTGAAACATCACTGGTGCCTTTCGGGCAGCTCATGGAGCTAAAATATGAGATCTCGCTAGATCTCATGTACTCGATCACAGACACATTGCACCAGATCTCATAAGGACATCATTGGTGAGCTGGCCCCCAAAAAAACAGAAAAAATATTCCAGCCCCCAATGCAAACTGGAAGCACGTTGGGGGAAAGGGTGAATAGGGGATCGAGGTCAGCTTTAAAGTGAAAATACACTTACTTTGCCCTCAAAAGGCAAAGTAACAGATTTGCTATAGAAAAATAACTATAATTCTTATTTGCTTTCCCTCTGCTCTCCCACCAGCCCCACCCACTACCAGGCTGACTGAGATTCCTGTGCAAGTTTATATTTTCACAACAAGTCAAAACTTATGTAGGGTGGTGCACTGTCTGCTATGCACCTACATTACAGCATTCAGTGCTCATGATTGGCCACTCTAAATGCTGTCATGCTGGGAAGTTAGATGTGTGTCATAGATTCCCTCATACAGTAGCTAGGAGTATCAGGTATTCCTTAGGGGGGACTTAGAGGGCATCAGGGAAGTGAATGGAAATTAAGTACCACATTCAGGTGAGCAGGTCTGCATCCAAGTGCAGGTACACGGACTTGCACGAATGTGCAGGTTTGGGTCGCTATTCAGCCACGTCCTATCATATGGATGTAAAGGCGGCTGCACACAATTACATGCTGCAACTGTCCCTCCTGGGAGCAGGTCTGCACAGGCATGCACACTGTACGAATGTGCAATTTTGTGTGAATGAGGCTTAAAAAGCACCATTCTGTTTGTGCCTTATGCACAACAGATGCATCACTAAATACAAAGCATGATGAAAATAACTCTACAAATGATCTAGCAGTCATACCTAGAAATAATAAAAAGTCATTGCAATTCTAAGCCTCATCCTACAGGAACAAGCAATTCAAGAACAATCTATCTTTGCTTATAAAATCGTTAGTAAATGCGGAAACATTTACTAACAGCAATAGCTGAAAAAAAACAAAACATCCACATTGGTCCGATTTACAATAATTGCTGCCTTCTTAAGACCAGCATTAAAATGTCAATTCCATCTAATTCTAATCTAGTTACCTGAAATCATTGCATGTAAGGATGGAAAACATAAGAGCAAGTTGGTAAGTATTGCAGACATTCCAGTTAGTATTTAAAGAGGACACTTTCAGACTCGTTTAGAAAAAATGACCAACTAAAATTGTTGCTTGATAATATATTAGACTACATAGCATTGCTGCAACTTGATAAGCAGTTCTGAGATTATCAAACACTGTCACAGAATTAAAAAATATATTAAACCTTCGCTTTAAAACCCCCCTACTGCCACAATCAGCCAGGAAAAAGCACCAGATTTTCCCAACTGATAAGTGCTTTCTATTTCTGACACTGAAGTCTCCAAAGAGCACCAAGACATACAAATGTATACCATACCGCTGTTGTGTCTATACACCCATCAGGAGAGCCAGATCATCCACCATGCAATCTAGGCAGGAGCTTAGAGCCCAGAGAATGTCCAGAAGGCTTTGCTACAACCTTCATGCTCCTGCAGTAAACTAGGGGGATAGTGTACTGGTCAAACTTGTGTACCTGCCTGTCACTTCACAAGTTAGGATGCACTTGTAGTCAGTTGGTGTCTGATTGGGCAGTCAATGCCAGTGCAGACAATGCTAAGGGGATGGCTTATCTGTGTCTACTGCAATCTGTATCAATATCAATTGAAGTGATGGGGAGCTGCAAAGCTACTACCTTGACTAGAGCCCCACTCTGCCTTACGTTTCTGCCCTTCAGACAGCCAAAACCTTGTACTGTACAGCCATCATACTGTTATGTCCAACTAACATCTGATGTCAAAAGCCAACTTCCCTGTGCAGATTGCTAAACCTAATCATGATCATTCATGTGCTAAAATAAATGACCTGAAATAGCTAAAAAATCTTCAAAACCCTCTAAACACTACATGCCTACCAATATCAAAATGTCAAGGTCATAAGTATAGCTTACCTCTTTGCTCTCTTCAATGTCAGACTCACTGCTAAATTCCTCTGTGTTCAAGTTTTCAAAGTCTGATTCCCCTACAGCTATTGGTACAGTTACCGTGAGACTCGGGTTATGTATGAATGACATATAGTCACTTTCCATATCAATATTGTATTTTTCCACACTGCTACCAATACCACTTGTGGCCGTTCCATTCCCATCCTTCAGGTACTCAAAGTCTTTGTTTATTTCCACGGTGGTGTGGTTGGATATACAGCAGTCTTTCTGGTTCTGCATGTCTTCTAAAGGTTTATTTTCCTCCAGCTCTTTTTTCTTCTTCACAAATGCGTTCTGGATGAACTCCCGTGCTTTCCTTTTCACGCACGCAATCCCAATGTGCATTCTAGCCATGGCAATTTGTAGATTATTCATTTCATTATCATCGTCTGTTGCAGCAAGATTGTCTGAGCTAAATGAGCTCAGCAGCAAAGCTAAGAACAGGTTTAACACCTAAGAATTGCAATTAAAAGACAAAAGAAAAATATGAGCCTAGAACATAATTGTAAGCAAACATTACATGGTCAGTCCACTTAAAACAGCTATATCAGTTTTTGATAACTGCTCAGGTGTTAAAGGACTTGACAGTTTCTTTATGTCTCTTGAGAACTATCTTTGATAAATATTTATGCTCGAACTTCGATATATGCTATGGCCATTATGAGGGGTTCTTGCTCTGCATAATGCAGCAGAGACACCCAAAACTCCCAGTTGAGGGGCTTCACGATGAGGAACTGTGGCAGAGAGATCTTGCTGTTGGGATATCAGAACCATAGGCTCATCAGGCTATACAAAAAACTAAGATATCACTTTTAGGTAGGATAATCCTCTGACTGCCATGAAGAATATTCATATAAGGCCACGTTGAGCACATTTGTTTGTATACATGATCAAACTGTCAAAAAATTCTGTGCCTGAACTAGGCTGAATATTGCATCACACGCAAATGGTGAAACGTTTTTGTCTGACCACCACATGTAAACACAGATTTTTGGAAAGCCCATATAGGTCTCAGTCAAGGGCATTACAATTTTAGTACATCATCACATTTTATTCCTATGGAAGTACTCAAGTAAACGTTGTTTTACTTGCATGTTAAGTATTTTGCAAAGATTTGTGAGAGGTACGGTAAAATTGACTTAAAATTTAAATCCATTATTACATAGGGAGCAATTTTTTTTTTTTTATTCTTTAACTGTGAACAATATTTTTTATTATTTTGCTTTGGAGTAAATATACTGTGCTATTCACAAAGGGGTGAAGAGTTTGTAGAAGGGAGGAGAAGTGAACAATCTAGGCCAAAGTAGCTGATTTGGTAGAATCCTCCAATTCAGCTCACTTTCCAGTTCAGCTACGTTGTCATAGATTGTTCACTTCTCCTGCCTTCTCCAAACGCTTCACCCTTTTGTGAATAACCCTGATAGTCTTTTATTAAATTAACCCAAAGGCCAGAACAATAATTGTATTCACACATTTGGACAGCAAACCATAGCTCATCATTTGTTGTATATCATTGCTCAGAAATCTGAATAGACGGTTAATGTCTGAACACACCAGTTCTGGCTGGATAAAGCACTAAACATTATCTTTATGGGCACTGTTAGGCTTTAGCCCAAAAAA